CTCTGTGGCCAAGGAGACAGAGGCAACACCGTAAACAAAAGCGGGGTAAGAGGAGCGGCCTGCGCGCTAGGCTACATACTAACCCACACAGGCCGGTGCTCCCTAGTCTCTTCCTCACAAACGCCCGGTCACTAACCAACAAAATAGATGGGATTCGGCTGTGGATCGTCTCACGGAGGATAGACAGCTGTGTGGTGATTATAACTGAAACCTGATTGCATGACAACATCCTGAATGCTGTGGTGGAGCTGGAGGGACGCTCCTTGTTTCGAGCAGACAGGACTGCAGCATCTGCTAAGCAGAGAGGCGGAGGTCTGGTGCTGTACATCCACAACTTCTGGTGCACAGCTGCGAGCATTATTGGAACACACTGCTCCCCTGACTTTGAATATCTGGCAGTGAAATGCAGAACGGTGAGAGAATTTTGCTCGGTTGTAGCCATCTATATATCACTGCAAGCTAACACTAAATTAGTGCTGGAGGAGCTGTACTGCCTGATCAGCAGGCAGATGAATGCAAACCCAGAAGTGGCTGTGATTGTGGCTGGAGACTTTAACCATGTGGCACTTAAAGCAGTGTTTCCCAGATTCTACTGATTCATCAACTTTCCAACCAGGGACAATAATATCCTGTATCAAGTATATTGCAACATCCCGGGAGCATACAAGGCCACAGCAGGTCCACACCTGGGCATGTCAGATCACATCTCTGTTGAGCTGATCCAAGCATATAAACCTCTGATCTGCAGGACAAAACCCATCACCAAAACAGTTAAGGTGTGGACGGAGGAGGCTTCTTCAGCATTACAGGACTGTTTTGAACATACTGACTGGGGGGTATTCAAAGAGGGCTCATACATCAGCTGTTCTGGAATATGTGCAGGTCTGTACTGATACTGTCCTACCTACAAGGTCCATCAGGGTTTTTCCAAACCATGGTTGGACAGTACAATGTCACATCTGCTCAAAGCTCGGGACGCTGCCTTCAGACCAGGTGACAGGCTGGCATATAGCAGGGCCCGGAAAGAACTAAAGAAGGGCATCTGGCTGGCCAAACGCAGGTACAAACAATGCATTGAGGGGCAGTTCATGAATAACAACACACAGAGTATGTGGAGAGGCATCAAAACAATAACAGACTACAGAGGCAACAACCAGAAGGTCAGCCATGATCCCACCCTCCCTGACACTCTGAATAGTTTCTTTGCATGCTTCAATACACCTGGTAGCAGAGGAACTGTACATCTCCCTCAGCTCGAGGAACAGCACCAGCCTCTCATCCTGCAGCTACACCGGGAGAGCTCCACCCTGAGGAGGATCAACACCAACAAAGCCACAGGACCAGACAGGGTGTCAGGCTGGGTTTTGAAGCTATGTGCTGACCAAGTGGCAGGCGTTTTCTTGGACATTTTTAATCTGTCCCTGCATCTTGCTTCAGTCCCTGTGTGCCTCAAGTCCTCCATCATTGTGCCTGTGCCCAAGAAATCAGCTGTTGCTCTGTTGCTCTGACACCAGTAATCATGAAGTGCTTTGAGAGGATCGTCCTAAAGTACATCAAGGACGTCATCCCTGTTGGTCTGGACAGCCATCAGTTTGCCTACAAAGAGAACCGATCAACAGAGGACGCTGTTTCAGTAGCATTACACACAGCCCTGTTGGAAGCGGCACATCATCCACACTGGTCCTGATCACAGGAGCTCAGCCCAGTTCTCTTCTCTGTTTACCCATGACTGTTGTGCCATTCACTCCACAAACACAGTAGTGAAGTTTGCAGACAACACCACCGTAGTGGGCCTCATCTCAGACAATGATGAGACTCACTATAGAGAGGAGACCCAGCACCTGACAAGGTGGTGTTCAGATAACAATCTTGTCCTGAACACCAACAAGACTAAGGAGGTCATTGTGGATTATAGGAGGTCCAGGAAGACAAAATATGCTCCTCTTCTCATACACGGGGAGGTGGTGGAGCAAGTGGATAACATCAAGTTCCTGGGCATCCACATCACATCTGACCTGACCTGGTCTCTGAACACATCCTACCTGGTGAAGAAAGCCCAGCAAAGGCT